TGAGGATCTGTTGAATCAAAGTTGCCCCAAAACGACACTTGTTTACATAAAAATTGATATCCTCCCTCATTTCTTTTGTAAATGCTTTTTGCTTTTCAAACTGTAATGCTTCAGGACACATATCGTGATTATGTTTATCTTCCAATGTTGTCACATAAACACGAAAGCTTAGGTTCTTTTTAATTGGTCTCAAAAGGTTGATGTGCCATTGACAGCTCTGCCTAACTGTATTTTCAGGCTTTGCTTTATTTGCTGGACGATATTAACCAGAATGATGACAACAGATGATTCTTTTACGTTGAACTTTCTCTTTTTCAGTATTATCTATTGCAAAATTCTAACTCATTCTTATTTTGAAACCTTTGAATTCAGTATAGAGTCTTACATATTGTTCAGCTTGGTCGAAATCATCAAAACTGTTTTCTACTTTTAATATTACTGTTTCTGTATTTATATATAGGTCTTCCACATCTACACTACTACGATAGGCCTCTTCAAAGAAACTTTCTAAGTCAATTTCTGTTTTATCTGCCATTTCTTCAGTTTCGTTAGATAAGTTGTAATCATTTTTTTTATATTTGTCACTCATTTATTTTAGATTTGACTGGTTGAATGAAAGATATGAACTATTGGTAGCAACAACACAAGTAAATAGGATCAAGAATTATGTATAATAATTGCGATATAGATATTTTTGACAAGACGATGTGATAACGCAATAATGTGTTTATTACAATGACGACATGATAGTATGTTTATTACAACAACACAATAGTGTTATCTATGACAAAGACAATATGATAATGTATAACAATGATGATATAAAAGTGGTGAAGAATTAGTAGTGAATGGTGTAAATAAAAGCAAACTGATTGAGTATAAGAAAGAAAGCTATTGAGTGTAACAATTTAATGATACAAATAAAGCAATCAGTCATTTAATAGTGACGGGATGTAAATAACAAATTAATACAGTATAAATGGGGGTGCACTGCAGTGCCTAGTGCACTAAATTATAAATTCCATAAAGTTATAACAATAAAATTTTGTAATGAAATATTGTAATAAATAAAATTGTGTCAAAAAGTTGTAATGAATAATAAAGTTGTAACGAAAAATAAAATTATAACAAATAATAATTTAAATTCTGTTTCTTAAATAAAAGTTTGATGAAAGTTGATAATAGTGTTCGATTAATAAAACATTTGAATTTTGTTAATATAAAATTGTTTGATAAAAAGACGGGTGTGGCGACTTAGTGAAGTTGATAAGTTGTCACACCCCCAAGCAGCAGAACTGGAGTTCGAATCCCACTAGCGACAAAATTCGAATTTAAAGAATGTGTTACAGTAAACTGTGTGTAATCTGATGAATCATCGGATCTGTAGCTTTGATCATACCAGCTTGTACTGAAAGAATGTGGAACTATAGTATGACACAAGAGTTACATGAAACCCGAGTGAAGCATTTGTGTAAATTCAAGGGCTGGGGCACATGGAATCCCGCTTGGCAAGTCCTGAGTAAAGAGGTAGTACAGATCTTC